GGCGTCTAGCACAGGACGGTCAATTGATACCGGTTGTGGCGGGTCCTAAACCTTGGAGCACAATTGGAATGGATATGATTACGAAGTTACCTTTGTCTGGTGGATTCGATTCAATTCTAGTCGTCATTGACTTGTTGAGTAAAATAACACATTTTATTCCATGTAAAGAAGCAGCTTCTTCGGCAGTGTTAGCTGGACTTTTTCGAAAGAATATTTTCAGGTTACATGGATTGCCAGATAAGATTGTTTCAGATTGAGGTACCACGTTTGTGAGTAATTTTTGGAAATCTTTAATGACGGCTTTAAATATACAATCAGCGTTATCTACTGCTTACCATCCTCAGACAGATGGTCAAACTGAAAGGATGAATCAAATTTTAGAAGATTACTTGCGACATTTTTGTTCTTACTACCAAGACAATTGGGATCGGTGTTTAGACATGGCAGAATTTTCTATTAACAATTTAGACTCAGCAAGCTTGAAAATATCCCCTTTCTTCTTTTCTTACAGACATCATCCGAAATTTAATATTATGACTGAAAATGTAGGACGTAAGGATTTGGATGATTTTGTTCTGGATTTACAGGTTACTCAAGAAACAGCGATGGAATGTTTAATTCAAGCAAGAAGGAAGCAAGCACTGTATTATAACGAAAAGAAGAAACCTTCTCCGACTTACAATGAAGGAGACTGGGTTTTGCTGTTGCGTAAGTTTATTCAATCTCGACGTCTGAATTCAAAGTTGGATTATCGATACATAGGTCCATTTCAGGTGATAAGTATGGTTGGTAAGAATGCTGTAAAATTAGATATAGAAAAAGAATATCCAAAATTGCATCCAGTATTTAACGTTTCTTTGATTGTTAAGTATTTAAATCCAAACAGCGTGCCAAATCGAGTTCAAGTTGAAGGAATAAAGGATAAGTATTATAGAGATGAAGAAGTAGTTGACTGGAGTTTGTTGAATGTAGTGTTGGATGCGAGGACTCCGAGGAAAGGTATTGATATGAATTCTTGGTATCGTGAAGGGATCAACAGTGGCG